GTGAAAAAATGGGGGAAAATGAGGGGAAAATGGGGGAAAAATGGGGCAGGGGGAACGGGAACGGCCCGGAACGTGCGCGGCCCCACGGCACGGGAAATTTTGGGAATTCAGGGGAAAATGGGAAAAACCAGAAAAACTGGGAAAAACCAAGAAAAAATGGGGGAAAAGCGTGAAAGAAATGGGGGAAAATGGCAAAAAAATGGGGAAAAATTGAGGAAAAATGGGTGAAAATAGGGGGAAAATGGGAATGTGGGATGGTGGGAACACAAGAGAATGGGAATTCGTGGGAAAATGGGAAATCCTGGAAAAATGGGGAGAAACGGCAAAAAAATTGGGGGAAAATGTGAAAAAATGGGGGAAAATGTGAAAAAAATGGGGGAAATGAATAAAAAAAGGGGGGAAATGGGGGAAATTGGTGAAAAAATAGGGGAAAATGGGAAAAATGGGGGGAAAATGGGGGAAATTGGTGAAAAATAGGGAAAAATGGGGAAAATGGGGAGAAATTGGGGGAAAATAGGGGAAAATGTGGGAAAAATGGGGGGAAATGGGAGAAATTGGGGGAAAATTGGGATATGGGGTGGTGGGAACATGAAGGGGAACGGGAACAGATGGGAAATCCTGGGAAAATGGGAAATTTGGGAAAAATCACCGAAAAATGGGGGGAAAGTGTGAGAAAAAATGGAGAAAAATTGGAAAAAAATGAGGAAAAAATGGAGGTATGGGATAGCGGGCACACAGGAACGGGAGAAATTGTGGAAAAAATGGGGAAAAATGTGGGAAAATTTGGAAAAATGTGGAAAAATTTGGAAAAATGTGGAAAAATTTGGAAAATTTTGGAAAAATTTGGAAAAACGGGGGAGAAATGGGAATATGGGGAGGTGGGGACACGTGGGGACCTGGGGTTTGGTTATACAGGGGGGTTTCGGGGTTATTTTTGGGGTTTTTGGGGGCTTTTAGGGTTCAGTTTGGGCTTTTTTGGGTTCATTTTTCGGGGTGCCCCCAGGCCGCCCCCCGAGGGGCTCCGGGAGCGCTCCCGAGACGGGGGGGGGGTAATTGGGAGATGCTTTGAGTATAAAAGGGAGGGTTTTGGGGGTTCTTTCGGGGGTTTCTGGGATTTTTGGTGTATAAAGGAGGGACTTTTGGGTTCAGTTTGGGGTTTTTGGGACTTTTAGGGTTCAGTTTGGGCTTTTTTGGGTTCATTTTTCGGGGTGCCCCCAGGCCGCCCCCCGAGGGGCTCCGGGAGCGCTCCCGAGACGGGGGGGGGGTAATTGGGAGATGCTTTGAGTATAAAAGGGAGGGTTTTGGGGGTTCTTTCGGGGGTTTCTGGGATTTTTGGTGTATAAAGGAGGGACTTTTGGGTTCAGTTTGGGGTTTTTGGGACTTTTAGGGTTCAGTTTGGGCTTTTTTGGGACTTTTGGGGTTCAGTTTGGGGTTTTTGGGACTTTTAGGGTTCAGTTTGGGCTTTTTTGGGTTCATTTTTCGGGGTGCCCCCAGGCCGCCCCCCGAGGGGCTCCGGGAGCGCTCCCGAGACGGGGTGGGGTTAATTGGGAGATGCTTTGAGTATAAAAGGGAGGGTTTTGGGGGTTCTTTTGGGGGTTTCTGGGATTTTTGGTGTATAAAGGGGGGACTTTTGGGTTCAGTTTGGGGTTTTTTGGGACTTTTAGGGTTCAGTTTGGGCTTTTTGGGATTCATTTTTCGGGGTGCCCCCCAGGCCGACCCCCGAGGGGCTCCGGGAGCGCTCCCGGGACGGGGTGGGGGGGATGTTCTGTTGGGTGTTCCAGCGGGTTTTGGGGGGTTCTTTGTGGGCTTTTTGGGACTTTTAGGGTTCAGTTTGGGCTTTTTGGGATTCATTTTTCGGGGTGCCCCCCAGGCCGACCCCCGAGGGGCTCCGGGAGCGCTCCCGGGACGGGGTGGGGGGGATGTTCTGTTGGGTGTTCCAGCGGGTTTTGGGGGGTTCTTTGTGGGCTTTTTGGGACTTTTAGGGTTCAGTTTGGGGTTTTGGGGGTCTCAATTTCGGGGTGCCCCCCAGGCCGACCCCCGAGGGGCTCCGGGAGCGCTCCCGGGACGGGGTGGGGTTCACCGGGAGATGTTTTGGGGGATTTTGGGGTGATTTTGGGGTCAGTTTTGGGGTTATTTTTGGGGTGATTTTGGGGGATTTTGGGGTGATTTTGGGGGTTTTGGGTGTCTGTTCCCTGCGTGGTTTGGGGTCAGTTTGGGGCCAGATTTGGTATTATTTTTGGGGTGATTTTGGGGGATTTTTGGGTGATTTTTTGGGGTGATTTTGGGGTCAGTTTTGGGGTTATTTTTGGGGTGATTTTGGGGTTATTTTTGGGTGATTTAGGGGTTATTTTTGGGGTGATTTTGGGGGAATTTTGGGGGGATTTTGGGGTCAGTTTTGGGGTTATTTTTGTGGTGATTTTGGGGTTATTTTTGGTTTATTTTTGGGGATTTTGGGGTTATTTTTGG